ATTCAAACACATTAAAAACATGCAGACAACACAGATGAATATAAAATAAAGAGGAAAATGATCTTTGTCCCCTTTGCCTAAATCATGATCCTACACAGCCAGGCACCTGATGTTATACCATTTATGTCTTTATTTCTTCTGATGGTTGCCCTACATCTTAGTATTAGTATAGCTCCATTCCTGATTTATCAGCTCTGTGCGGCATCTCTGGATCTCCTACTCTGAGATGGAAGAGTAGGAAGCTACCCTCCTGGAATTGACTGGAGCAGCATCAATTTTGGTTGTAAGTACTTTGTAACTTTAAGTCATATACTTCAACTTCTATTTCTTGATTTATCAACTTTAGACAATGTCTTAACTGTCTCATTCCTAATGGGAGAAAATCACATGGAAAAATGGTTATTCTCTATATTCTTTGGATCATAAAACGCCATATTTATGAAGAAATGCTTCACTGGAAGCAGGTCTATCTGTAGTCGTTTTAATGAAAACAGAGAGATCTGTGTAAGTGCAGTGAAAGACGCTGATAACAAATGATGATGGAAATTATATAAGTATATTCGGTTTGTGTAGCCCAGACTACATAGATGATAAATATATAGAACCTTTCCAACTGTATAGCTTTCTATGTTGCTTAGGATAATTTTGTTATAAATCTTGTAATAAGACAACTATTCTTACATTTCCAGATGAGGAAATAAGTCCAGACAGTTTATGGCCACACAGAATCACCGTATGGTCCTGTAGGTTTTATTATTATGTTTCTATCTAGCATCGACTTTTCCTCTATGATGGCAACATTACCTGAACAATAATACCACCTTCCTGGTCTCAGCTCCAAATCAAGCCAATCACACCCTGAAACTCATGGACATGTAACTTAGGCCTGAGCCAGTGAAGACAGAACATTCCTTTAGCCAAAGTGATTAGCTCCAAGGTGGTCTGGAATTGGGTCAGAATCTGCCAGGTACCAAGATTTAGGATGGGAATGGTGGGACAGAGATTCTCTCTCCAGGCTCTCAAAGAGAGAGACAGCACTGCCAAATGCCGGCGGCCATCTTGTGACCAGAGAAATTGAATGAGGAAGGAGGGTCCTGCTTATTTCTCTGAGTCCTTTCCTCAGCCATTTCTATTTCTGCTGCTCATTTCAATCAGCCAACATGGACTCCCTTTTTCTTCACCCCTATTTAGGATGGTTTCTGGTCAACTGTAAGAACTGCACAGTTCATCAGTAGTAAACCTGACACTAGATCTTGTGGCTTCTTGTTCAGGCTTCTTTCAACTGTGCCACGCTGCACCTGAAATCAATGTCTTTGTTCGGGATTCACAAACACACACCCCTCCAGATCTCTTCACTACATCTTCTGCCTCCCTTCATGGTCTATGAAACAACTTTGGAAATGCAAATCCATCATGTGGGGCTCATTCCTGAGCCAGTGTGGATCAGGCTTAAGCATGATGTTCCTGTATTCTTGAAATAACAATATAGGTCAGGGG